TATAAAGAGCTGAAGAAAAGAATGACTATACCCAAGGGGTTGCGGAAAGAAATCCAATGAAGGTATAACTGTGGAAGAGTACAGCTATATCAAAAATGTAAACAGAAATAAAAATGAGAGCATTCAATACTCATATTTTATTAATAACTGTAAATATTAACAGACTAACTCCCCAGTCAAAAGAAACAGACTATATGAATGGATTAAGAAACAAAACCCATCTTTTTTTAAAGGACAGACACTATCTCAAAGTGAAAGGATGGAACAAAATATACCAAGCAAATGGCACTAAGAAAAAAGCAGGCATAGCAATCCTAATATCGGACAAAATAGACTTTAAACTGAAACTAACCAGAAAAGACAAAGAGGGCTATTTCATCTTGATCAAAGGAACAATCAGTCAAGAAGATATTACAATCATGAACATATATTCACCAAACACTGGTGCACCCAACTTCATAAAAAAAATATTACAGGACTTTAAGACCGAGATTAATCCCAACTCATTAATAGTAGGGGATTTCAATACCCCACTATCTCCATTAGATAGGTCAACAGGGCAGAGAGTTAATAGACAGACATCTGAATTAAACAATACCATATACCAAATGGACTTAACAGACATCCACTGAGTATTCCACCCAAGCACCAAAGGACATACTTTCTACTCAGTACCCCATGGAACCTTCTCCAAAAGCCACCATACACTGGGGCACAAAACAAACCTCAACAAAGATGAAAAGATTGAAATAATCCCATGCATTCTATCAGACCACAATGCAATAAAGTTTAGAATCAACACCAGAAGAAGCGCTAAGCACCACATGAACACATAGAGATTAAACACACATTCTTGAATGTTGAATGGGTCAAAGCAAAAATTAAGAAAGAAATAAAAGTATTCCTGGAACTAAATGAAAAGGACAATACAACACAACAAAACCTCTGGGACATGCTAAAAGCGGTCCTTAGAGGGAAGTTTATAGCTCTAAGTGTCGGAAAGAACACAAATAAATGACTTAACACTGCAACTCAACACACTTGAAAAGCAACAGCAAACAAAACCCAAACCCTGCAGACAAGAAGAAATAACAAAAATCAGGGCAGAAATCAATGAAATTGAATAAAAGAAAACAATACAAAGAATCAACAATTCCAAGAGCTGGCTCTTTGAAAAGATAAACAAGATTGACAGACAGCTAGCCCAGTTCACCAAAAAAAAAAAAGAGCACCTCCAAATCAACAAAATCAGAGATGAAAGGGGAAACATCAACACAGACACCAGAAAGATACAGAACATTATAAGGGAATTCTTTAAAAACCTATATGCTACTAAATTTGAAAACCTAAAAGAAATGGAAGGATATCTAAAGGCATGGGAACCACCAAAACTAAACCAAGAAGAGATTAACAGCTCAAATATACACATAACACAAAAAGAAATTGAAACAATAATACAAAACCTCCCGACTAAATAAAATCCCAGGACCAGATGGATTTACAGCAGAATTCTATCAGACATTTAAAGAAGATCTACATCCAATACTACTTCATTTATTCAAAAAGGTAGGTATGGAGGGAGAACTTCCAAATTCCTTCTATGAAGCCAGAATGACTCTAATACCAAAGCCAGGTAAAGATACAACCAA